CTGCCCACCTTGCTTACTCAGTTTACTCTGCGGAAAAGCTCTTAGCTAAAGGAAGTAGAGTAACTGCGGCAGCAGACCGCAGGCTCAGAGTCGCGATGATGCAGTGCGCTTCTCTTTTTAATTTGATAAAAAGCATCCCTAACCATTTCCCGTTCAACGTGGAAAGGAGGTTTCCAATTAATTGATTAGCTGTCGCTTCATTTTTCCGACTTAAACCAGAGCTAGAAGAAGGTGGTGGTCTATCCCAGTGTGATGGAAGGAGCACCTGAAGGAGTAAAGGGAGAGGACTTGGCCAAGACAGCTTTCCCAGAAAGAGACCCGTATGAACAGACTTTGCAGTTCTGAGCTGGATGGGGAAGTGGGGAAGAATTCTGGGTAGCCATACTCTAGACCAGGGGTAGGCAACCTGGGCTCTTTTATGACTCGTGGACTTCAACTCCCAGAATTCCTGAGCCAGCCATGCTGAGGGAAAAGGGAGAGGTTTCCAAGCTGAGCCATGCTGGCTCAGGAATTCTGGGAGTTGAAGTCCACGAGTCATAAAAGAGCCAAGATTGCCTACCCCTGCTCTAGACTCTCTCAGGATATACTGTATCTAGTAGCTCTGAAAATTATAGCTTTAGTTTGGCAAGATTCTGTCTGCTAGAGGCAAGCAAATAAAATAATTCAACTGGAGTTTATTGCCTCGTCGCTGGGATTGGACCTGACACCAGCCAACAATTAGAAATTGACCTTAGAAATTTACATCCCAAAGTAAGATTTTTCCACCTGGTTTCTGAAAGGCTCAAATACTCAATGCCTCTTACTTCTTTTTCTGTTTAACTGTATGAAAATGTGAGCACTGAGAATAAGGCTTCCTGTTGTTCAAGATGCTGTTCAAAGTGCCTGCCTTCTCCCAGGGCAAGTTCAGGTATTCTCCTAAACCAGGCTTTGTTTAATCTTGGTTTACGGAAGGCACCATCCAGTTAACCAAGATAAAACCAGTCCAAAAGCACCTTATGGTTTTTGCATGATTTGGAAGTCAAAGCATGTTCCTTAGCAGATGTGGGAAATGATGTACAAACTTGGGAACAATGGATAGGTTATTACTAGAAATTATTTTTTAAAAGGATGTGGTCAAGCACTTCCCATAAAAAAATATTATGCCTTTTTGCAATAAAAAGTCCTCTAGGTTGAGTTTGACTGCGGCTGATCTCGTGAACAAATCCACATAATTTACTTGGCAGGAATATGGAAGTTACACACACACACACACACACACACACACACACACACAGAGAGAGAGAGAGAGAGAGAGAGAGAGAGAGAGATCGAGAGATCGATCTTTGGCATCTAGTCTACCAGCTCAATATTTTATATCTGCTATCACAGTGCTGTCAATGAGGTACAACATAAAATGTTTTATATGAAAGGAACAAGCAGTCTATAAAAAGCTTTTGATCAAGTTAAATCAGCAAGGCATAGCCTAGGACAGTAATCAACAAGTTTTGCAAGTTATCAAACAATGAAAACAGATCTTTGCTTCAGTCCAAATAAGAGGGAGCTTTTTCAAAACATCTCAGACACACACAATCCATGTGAATATAAAAGAGGGTGGAGGAGAAGCACAGACAGATTCTGTTACTATAACCAATCATTACAGTCGTTTTTAGCCTTCCATGGAGTGTCTTTCTTGGTCTGGCCTGCCTCTTAGGGTTGATAGATGGGAAATGCTCCAGAGGTTATGCCTCACAGGTTCTTTCATTATATTCCTAGTTAAAAACTGGAGCCTGGGAGCATTTATCTGGAAATAAAGATGATGCTGAAAGCAGGCAGTTTGCTTTGCTGCCTGTGGGCAGAATGTTGCCTGCTCTCTAACTTAAAGCCTTCATAAACAATTCCTTGTGTGTCCAATTATACTTGGCCAATAAAGAGTTCTATTCTATTCTATTCTGTTCTGTTCTGTTCTGTTCCATTCCATTCTCACTCCCAATCCATTCCCATTCCCTTCCCTTCCCTTCCCACTCCCATTCTATTCCCATTCTCATTCCCATTTCCTTCCCTTCCCTTCCTTTCCCACTCCTATTCTATTCCCATTCCCTTCCTATTCCATTCCCTTCCATTCCCACTCCCATTCTATTCCCATTCCCTTCCTATTCCCTTCCCTTCCCTTCTATTCCCACTCCCATTCTATTCCCATTCCCTTCCTATTCCATTCCCTTCCATTCCCACTCCCATTCTATTCCCATTCCCTTCCTATTCCCTTCCCTTCCCTTCTATTCCCACTCCCATTCTATTCCCATTCCCATCGGTCCTTGGGCTGACCACGATCTTCACCCCAAGATTGGTGCAAAGACTTGTTTTCAATTCCCCACGAACGAGGCAATTTCGGAGGTTAAAATGGGCCAGTGACATTAGAAAACTGAGAATATTCTGGAACATTAGAGCAATGAAAAGGGAAAAAAAGCAGCTCCGTTCTTTTTAGACAACTGTAATCAATCACTTCTACCTCGGTCTCAAATGATCCATGCGACTAAAGTTTAAAAGGCTGCAGAAATGTAGCTCGCAGAAAACATTGGGAAAATATCTGTCTAATGAATCACATTGCGGTTGTCAACCCCAGAAGATTATTAACAGAAAATTAGTTCGGTTAAATGCCAGCAGCCTTGAACAAACAGAATGGTTATCTTCACGAGGCCATTTCAATTACAAGCACAAAGAACAATTGCATTTTGGAAATTTTTCATTCCCTACTCAGGCAGCTTCCATATCCTGCCAGAGATACAATATCTTACCAAACATTCCGAGTCTAAAGATGTCTGTTGCAAACTTTAAAATTCTCCTGGTCTAAATCATCTCCTTTTCTGTGTGAGTCACAAAATATTCATTCTGCTGCCGGGCAATAGGCATTCTTTCTCTGAGACCAAATTAAGAGAGGACTTCTTAAGCAGCAGAAAGGAAATAGCTGATTGTAGTATGTTCAGAGAGAGTGGAATTTGGAGGCTGCAGCCCCCCCCTGAATCCTGCCAGGATCAACTTCTAGAGCGGATCTCCAGTAATGTAGGATCACCAAGCCAAATACCATCCTGTAGCAAAGTTTCACACTTCCGTGCTAACTTAATAAATCTGAGTTTGTATTTGCTATGGAAAGCCTCAGGTTAAGTAAGCTGGCAACTGAAGATGGCTGCAGCCAAATTCGTTTAAAGCAGTGGTTCTCAACCTTTTTAATGCCGTGACCCCAAACCGGTCGTAAGTCGAGGACTAAACCGGTCGTAAGTCGAGGACTACCCAACCGGTCGTAAGTCGAGGACTTTCCCTGCCCGGGAGCGCCGCGCATGCGTGGTTCTGCCCCCTGCGCCGTCCGAGGCGTAGCTGGCAAGCAGCAGAGACGGAGCAGGCCGACCACCAGCTGGCCCAGCCCAAGGGAGGTAAGGCACCTGCCGGAAAAGGGGAAAAAAATGGCGGACAGCCTTGCTTGGCGACCCCCGTGAAATGGTCGATCGACCCCAAATGGGGTCACGACCCATAGGTTGAGAACCGCTAGTTTAAAGGTTGAATTTGGCTTAAGCATCTCCAGACCAGTGAAAAATCATGCACAGAGAACTGCATTGCACTGCAGTTTACTGATATATTTTAATTTGCAAACACCCAGTGATCTGGGAGCCCCTCATACCCAGTGATGTAATCCAGACAGTGTCACGATTTATTTTATTATTTTTTTCATAACACAATGGATGGGCTTCTAAGATCTCACAAGCAGGATGCAAGGACAACAGTGTTCTCCTATTGTTGTTTTCCAACTAAGATAGACCTGTAAATGTCCACCACACAGAAAGATGGTAGATGAAGGCAGAGCTGCAAAGACAGTATTTATGAGCTAAAGACTGGAAATATCAGTCAACAGCTCCTTTAGGAGAGAAAAAAAAAAGAGGCAGGAGGAATAATGGGAGAATCTAAAATCAGTTGCCTCAGGAGCAAATTCCAAAAAGATGATTCATTTATACAGGAACTAGTTTGATTTCTAGTGAACCGTGTGAACTGGGGAGAGGAGAAAGGAAAGAAAGTTGTCCCTGTTTTCTAGTTGTATTAAGTGTGCAATGGCCAGAACACTATTCCAATTTGCAAATGCATCATAGTACCAATTTAATGTTCTATAAATGGGGCGGATTTGTATTGTATTAAGGGAGCTGGGAAAAGCAGAATCAGATTGTCCAAATCCTCTTTTCAAAATTACCCAGGAAAATATCAGACAAAATTCTGATTTGGGAAGAAGTCAACAAAATGGGGAAATGAATCACCCTCAACATTTCCATGCTTTCTTTCTTTCTTTCTTTCTTTCTTTCTTTCTTTCTTTCTTTCTTTCTTTCTTTCTTTCTTTCTTTCTTTCTTTCTTTCTTTCCTTCCTTCCTTCCTTCCTTCCTTCCTTCTTTCTTTCTTTCTTTCTTTCTTTTTTCCTTCCTTTTCTTTCTTTCCTTCTCTCTCTCTCTCTCTCTCTCTCTCTCTCTCTCTCTCTCTCTCTTTCCTTCCTTCTTTCTTTCTCTCTCTCTCTCTTCTTTCTTTCTTTCTTTCTTTCTTTTTCATTCATTCATTCATTCATTCATTCATTCATTCATTCATTCATGCAGAATCAGATTGTCCAAATCCTCTTTTCAAAATTAGCCAGGAAAATATCAGACAAAATTCTGATTTAGGAAGAAGTCAACAAAATGGGAAATTGAATCACCCTCAACATTTCCATGCTTTCTTTTCTTTTTCTTTCTTTCTTTCTTTCTTTCTTTCTTTCTTTCTTTCTTTCTTTCTTTCTTTCTTTCTTTCTTTCTTTCCTTCTCTCTCTCTCTCTCTCTTTCTTTCTTTTTCATTCATTCATTCATTCATGCATTCATTCATTCATGCATTCATTCATTCATTCATTCATTCATTCATTCATTCATTCATGTTTGGCTGCCCATCTCAGCAACTGACTCTGTCTGGTGAACAATCATAAAATGAATTAAAAGCCTTCACAAGGAAGACTCGTGACTTACCAATGTACAGGGAAGAATCCTTCCGCCTCACATGGTCATCAATGTAGGAGACCCCCAAAGGCTGCACTGGAGTTGCCCCAATTCCCAGAAGGACTTGTGCCCCAATGAGAAGCAAATACATCATGTTCGTGGCAGTCCTGCTCCTGCAGATCCGATCAGGATCTGGTCCCTCGTCGCTCGTGGACCCATTGGCTACGCAGGCGTCCCTCCCTTCGGACCGCCACCGAATCTCTCCGGATTCATACTCATACTGATGAGTCAGGAATTCTGGCAGAGCTGAAAGAAGGGCTCCCAAAGCCATAATGATCCCTCCGCATCCTATCAAGCGTGGCCGGTGTCCCCGGGCACCAAAGTAGCTCACAAAAAGGATGAGAACCAAGTTGCCAATCTCAAAGCTGCTGGCGATCACGCCAACGTCGGCGCTCTGGAGGTTGAACCGCCGTTCCAAGGTGGTCAAGACGCTCACCTGCAAGGAAAGAGGGCAAGAAATGAGAGGGAGCCAATACCACACTCACCGACGTTGATGATGTTACCTGGTCAGTAATAAAACATCTGTAAGCAGACAACCAAGCTCAGAGGGCATCCAAAACCCCGCAGTTCAACTCCAAACCACATATATTCTATCACTATAGTTTTGTGTTTATAATGCGCGGTTTAAAAAAAAGGTATTGTGCTGTGGTTCCTCCTTTTGAGTTTCTCACTGAGCTCAAAGAGGTCAGGTAAAAATTTAGGCACCTGCAAAGAGGCAGCAGTAGCAGAGAACACCTTGTGCGTTTTTCCTAGTTTATTCACTGCTGTCCTGAGAATTGTCCTTCTGCACCAGAAAGGTAAACAAACCATCTTGGTATTTTCCTCCCAAATGCACATTCTTCCTCCACCCGATGAACTTTGAATCCCTCTCTGCAACTTCAGATACTTAGAGAGAAGTTGTTGTGGGATGACAAATGCTGTCAGAGCCTCCTAGAACTAGGCTTCAGGGCATCTTCTGCTCTGAAGGGTGCATATTAGAAAACTTAGCAATTGCCTCCAGTCGTGGCTATTTCTGATTTTCTCCAGAGACAGCAAAGTCTTCAGTTGTGAATTTTTGAAACGGACAAAAAAAGAAGAGAGTTAGGTTTGCTTTAGAATTTTAAGGGAGATCAGAAAGTTAATCTCTTTTACTCCCTCTCTCTCTCTTTGTACTGTATTCTCACAACACCCTTCTACCAATTCAGTTACAAATCTAGTGGCTGTATTTACACAGCAGGCTAAGCTTAATTTCCTTCCTTCCTTCGCTTTGCATTTTGCATGACCCAATCGGTTTGATTCAGTCATAATTCGGTGTATTGTAGAAAGCTAGAAAATGAACCAGTTGGGTAAAATTGGGTGAATTGTGTTGGCTGAAATTTGCGCTTAACAGAAAAACAGAGTTGAAAGGACCTTAACCTGGGTGATATTGGTTCTATCTAGGCCAATCCTCCACACAAGCAGGAGACTCTATACCAGGCATAGTCAACCTTGGCTCTTTTATGACTGGTGGACTTCAATTCCCAGAATTCCTGAGCCAGCTTAGCTGGCTCAGGAATTCTGGGAGTTGAAGTCCACGAGTCATAAAAGAGCCAAGGTTGACTACCCCTGCTCTATACCATTCATCTCATCATTTCTCTGAATGCTAAGTTGCCAGCAGTTTTCTACTGCCTAGAATGCTCACACTTTCCCAGTTGAAACTATGGCTAAGTCTGTCTATGTGCTGTGAAATTAAGGAGTTTTCTGATTGCTAATTAGTGTTCATGGATGCGCTCTGCTAGTCTTCTGCCTGCCTGTCCTACATTGTGACTGTTACAGTCTTTACGGTCTATGTTGTTGATGACCCTTGCTTTTTCTTCTTGGTAGACCCTTCTACTGGGTCTTTTGGTTTACTTAAGAAATTTTTGAGGGCTTTAGTTGGTTTGTGTGCTACAGGGGTGCTGTGTGATTGTTTCTGAGATATTGCTGATGTGTAGCAGTCTTATCCTTTTTATGGCTTATGTTGATTGTGCTGTAGTGGACTGGGTGGCCAAGCGTTTTTTATCAAGTTGTGTAGGCATCCATTTTGCTGGGAAATGGTGCATAGGCAGTTCGTTTCATTTTTCTTGTTTGCTGCAGTGCATTGCATTTGTGCTTGTCTGAATAATGTTCTTACACAACTCCTCTTGTGGGAGGTTGGTTTGTTACTTTAGTAATGGAGCACATGGTTAGTGTGGGTTGTTTTTCAATAGACTGCTGCATGGAACTTTGTTTTTGGATATGATAACTCAGGCAGATTATTGTACCGACAAAGGTGGAAAGATTTGCCAATACTTACAATGGAGGAATGGTTAGTGAAGATGAGAGAATTTGCTGAAATGGCTAAATTGACTTGTTTGATTAGAGAAAAGAGACGATCTGCATTTATTGGTCACTGGAACCACAACCCCCTACAGCTTTTGTGTAAAAAAGAAAAAAAATGATTTATAATTTGGATGGTAAGATAGGATAAACTATAGAACAAAAAGAGTTGTGACGTAACTTTAGACAGAGAGGTTAAAGTATAATTATATTTATAACTGCTGTAAAGAAGATCAGAAGCCACTTCTTTATATCTTTCCCCCTCCTTTTTTCTACTTTTCCGTTTTTTTTCCTGTTGAACTTTTAGCTTTTTCTTTTTATTTCTTTTATTTCTCTTTATTTTTTATTCTCTTTTAGTTTGCATTATTCTTATTAGTGTTAAAAAGAACTGAAGAAGCTTCCTGCATGAGAAGCGAAACTTATTCAAGAGAGAAAAAAAACAAAGGAACTCCAGTTGCCTTTTGGGAAAAAAGCACCTTTGGAATAACCAGGACCTGGATGGCTGAGAATGTCCATATACCACCAGACTTTTGTAGTCTCAAGTTGCCTATAGCTTGGTTTCCCATTTGAAAATAAGGCACTTGCTGGAATCCTTGCGTTGCAACCTAGACCAGTGGTGGCAAACCTATGGCACGGGTGCCAGAGGCGGCACTCAGAGCCCTCTCTGTGGGCACGCACGCCGTCGCCCCAGTCCTAGGCCTTCAGCTGGGTTTTATAAAATCTTTTCACTTTAGGCCTCCGCTGCCGTATGCAAAAAAAAAAAAAAGTTTCAATCAATCAGTCAATTTCAACTTCTCACGAAAAAAAAAAGATCTTGTAAAGTTGGAATTGATTGATTGAACTTTTCAGTCCCACCCAGTCTGCCGTTACCACTGCAGCCACGTCCACCCAATGGGCCATACCCCCCCAATTGGCCACACCCAACCAATGGGCCACACCCACCCAGCACCCGACAATGCATAAGTGGGTTTTGAGTTGCAGTTTGGGCACTCGGTCTCTAAAAGGTTCGCCATCGCTGACCTAGACCTTTGTTCTAATAAATATTACTAATACGGCCTCTGAGAAATGTGATCTTTGGCTTCACGCGATTGCTAGGAGAGAAGGCTGTTCATGCCCAGCACGTGGCAGATGGAAAGCTAGCAAGATGTGTTTGCTGATTAGAAAACAGCCATGACAATGGAGACCAGGATACAAAGGAGGGGTTCTCCAAAATGAGGGCAGACATAGGATAAAGCATTCTAAGTCTTTAAAGAGGGTAAACAAGCCATCTGAAAAAGAAGGCTTTGTGCAAACATCAAGGGCTGCTGTTACAGGGTGTTTTGTACACAGCAAAGGAACTGGGGCCAGAGGACAAAAGAAGAGGTTGCACCTGGCCTTGTAAACCCACAAATGGCTCACCGCTTTTCAGAACGTTGTGAATTTGCTAGCAAGTTTCCCTGTCGCTCTTCATGGAGGGAGCTCTAATGCAGCAGATTATCTGGCTTATGTTTTGTGAATCTGCTTTTTTTTTTAAAAAAAAAAAAATCATTTAAAAGTACAAAGCATGAAGTATAAACATCTGAAGTTTAACTCCAGTGCAATTCCCACCCCTCAGATCAAGATTAGGAGCGAAGCCAATAATGCTGTTCCAAAAGGCAACGGGACTTTCTTGGCGTCTTCCATGAAAATGTTTGAAAATGTTTGTTTGTTTTTTCTCCCCGAAAATGTTGAAAACATTTCACTTCTCGTCCAAGAAGCTTCTTCAGTTCTTCAAAACTGAAGAAGCTTCTTGGGTGAGAAGCAAAATGTTTTCAAGGAAACCTCCCCCCCCCCCAAAAAAAAAGTCCAGTTACCTTTTGGAAAAGTGTCTTTGGAACAACCATGACTTGGATGATTGAGTACCTTCACACGCATTAGGGGCAAACAAATTCAGAGATTCACATGGAGGTTACTTTGACTGGAATATTTAAGGATATTTTCAAATGAATTTGGAGGCTGCTAAGTGAGGGAATGAGCTGAACTACAATTACAGTACAATTTTCAGACTACCCAGCCAGGTGGTCCTGTAAGAAAATGGTGTGCCGTATAATTGTATGAATTTTCAAATACTTCCAAAATAATTTCCAGGGAATCTCTGAATTAATTTGCTTCTAATCTACCTAGAAAAAAAACGTGGTCTAAGGTCCTGTGACACTTGATGGAAGCAAAAGCTGGACTTTTATTATTTATATAGCGAGTGGCATCTACAAAGGTCATGCAATACCGATATACAATGTGAATAAAGGGCATTATGCATACATACACAAATATAAATGTAAGTTAGAGCATTGGCAAATACACACACACACACACAAAATATATAGACAGTACAATACACGAGATGAAATATTAAATTAAGGTGAAACCACGATAAAATCACCATCGTATGATGCCACAGAGTTGCAGTAAGATAAATGCTATAATTCAATATCTAAGGAAGCTAGCCACCTAACTGCTTCTGGTGTGGTTGCAGTGAGATCATCCCAGCTGCCCTGAAATCCCAGCTGGACTTTGAAGAAGAAGGATATGAGGTGTATTGATTCTTCTGAACATTGGTGTTAAAAAGACTCCCGAGAATACCATGGGCAGCCAAGAAAACAAACAAACAGAAAAACAGAAATCAACTCAAGAGTTCTCCCCCAGGTTCAAATTATCCTCCTTTGGATCCACAAGGCAAAGACCTAGCTGTCTGGAAAAGGCTTTGCTGCGGAAGGGGGGAAGGAAAGAGAAGAGGACAACCAACAGCAAGATCTTAACACAGTGTTTCTCAACCTTGACAATTTTAAGGCATGTGGACTTCACCTCCCAGAATTCCACAGCCAGCAATGCTGGCTGTGGAATTCTGGGAGTTGAAGTCCACATGCCTTAAAATTGTCAAGGTTGAGAAACACTGTCTTAACAGAACAAAATAACAGAGTTGGAAGGAACCCTGGAGGTCTTCTAGTCCAACCCCCTGCAGGTGCAGGAGACCCTATACCATTCTGGATCAATGGCTATTCAATCTCGTTTTGGACAGCCATTCGTCTCAATCTCAATTTAAGTAGCTGGCCTGCAGGACTTTCCTTATGCTCCAAAAGCATGGTTTCACCCATGCTTTCATTTAGATACAATACACCACACACACACAGGGAGGGAGGGAGGGAGGGAGAGAGAGAGAGAGAGAGAGAGAGAGAGAGAGAGAGAGAGAGAGAGAGAGAGAGAGAGAGAGAGAGAGAGAGAAGCAGAAGCTTTTTTTCCACAAAAGGACCTCCAACCAACATCTGACTAACATTTGCAAGGAGACACCAGGAAAGGGAAGCTTAAGAGAAGAAGACAAGAGCAGATCCTGAACTAAGATAACTGTGACATAAGTGTGATGGAAGGAAACTGAATGGACCCAGGTACAGTGGCAACACCTTTGCGAGACCCGAAACACCAGGTTAGAGACAGATTGCCATGGAGAAAAATCTATCTATATGGGTTTCTAGAAGCCAAAACACAGCTTGATGGCACATCAAGCAATCAAACGAGGGCGAGCAGAAGAAAGGTGTGGAATCCGCAGTAGGTCCTGCTTGTTGAAAAGCAATGAAAAAAGAAGCAAGGGATCAAAGCCAGAAGCTTTTGATTTTGTTTCTGAGCTCCATATAATGTGCAAGATAAATCTCCCAACACCTTAAAAGTTCCATTTGTAAAGCTAATAACTGCTGTAATTCGTATCTGGACTTCCTGGGCACTTTAATTGCCAGCTGAAAAAAAGATCACGGTTTTGGTTTTTTTTTTTAACATGCTGTATATTTCCATGAACATGAATTGGCTCTCTCCAGGGAGCCGAGAGTCCAAATGCTTGGAAGCCTGATTTATGGAGCAAAGAGACTTATGTAAGGGACTTTCTCACCCCTACTTTGTCGCATACACATTGCTACTTAGCTGGCTGGCTGTTTAAAGCACATCTCCCAGCTGCATGGAGACAGGGGTTAATGCAATCCATTAAAAAAAGAAAAACACTCTTTTTAAACCTGTAATTGAATCAGAATTACTGGATCTGACATAATTTTTTAAAAAGAAGCCTGAGTTAGAATATGGTCTGTGTCTCATTGAAAAAAATAAAATAAACAAGGTTACGATTAGGGGGTGGAGGTACGTTCTCCGAGCTTGTGGGTTAGTTTCCGAACCTTTTGTTACCAGGTAACATCTTCAGTGGAGTTTAGGGAATGTCAACTTCCTGACAGTGAGGACAATCAACCAGTGGAACAGCTTATTTCCAGAAATTGTGGGCGCTCCATCACTGGAGATTTTCAAGAAGAGACCACCAGATATTCACCTGTCTGAGATGGTATAGGTCAGGGGTAGGCAACCTTGGCTTTTATGACTCGTGGACTTCAACTCCCAGAATTCCTGAGCCAGCACTGAAGTTGAAGTCCACGAGTCATAAAAGAGCCAAGGTTGCCTACCCCTGTTATAGGTTCTCATGCTTGGACAGGGGGCTGGACTAGACGACCTCCAAGGTCCCTTCCAGCTCTATTCTATTCTATTCTATTCTATTCTATTCTATTCTATTCTATTCTATTCTATTCTATTCAGTGTTGGTGTTCTTCTGCTTCTAAGGGCTTTGTGTGGTCAGTAGCTCTTGTGATGGGAGAGTTACATCAGGTGAGGGTCTTGTGATGGGTCTAGTGAGGGTCAGATGTTTGCCACTATTGCAAGGTTACTGACTGCTTTCACACTGGTCTCTGTCTATAAGGTATGGAAGGAACTTAAAGGCTGGGGACTCCCATGATTGGCAGTCATTAAAGTGCCATGTGCAACTAGTCTATGCCCCCAAATATTAGCTATATCAGTGTGTTCTTGCTGCAGGTTTTTCAAATCTCCAGGAAAAGGTCCATTTGGATGTCCTTAGTAGGAACCACATACCTAAGGTGGATTTCCTTCCTTTTCTAGCAATCCATTGTTGGCCTACTGGAGATGTTTTTGGAAGAGCTAATGAAGAAAAAGGTCCATTTGGATCTCCTTAGTAGGAAACACGTACCTAAACTGGATTGTTTCTTCTTCCTTTTCTAGAAATCTATTGCTCTGGCGTTGGAAGATATTTTTGGAAGAACATCAAGAAAAAGGTCAATCCATATTTCCTTAGTAAGAGACACACGCCTAATGTGCATTGTTTCTTCTTCCTTTTCTAGAAATCTTTGTTGTCCTACTGAAAATGTTTTTGGAACAGTTTATAAAGAAAAAAGGTCCATTTGGATCTGCTTAATAGGAAACACATGCCTCAGAGGAATGGTTGTTTCTTTCTTTTCTGGAAATCTATCACCTCTATCCATTTTCTCCTTGGACGGCCCATAACGTTCCTCTCTCTGATGCTTAACCTCCCAAGTGAACTATTACTCTTCCCATCTTCCCCTCCTGTTCCTTATTCTGTGAACTCCTAGCCTTCTGCCTCCTCCCTTCCTTTCACCATCTCTATTTTTAGGGACCGTTTTGCCAGTCCAAGTCCTAAGGGACTGATCGCCTAATCAAGAATCCTTCTTTTCATCAGCATTTGCAGTAAAAATAAAATGTTTTGGCTCCACCTATAAATATTCTCCAGCTAATGTTCCGATCTGTCAGACTGTTAAGGTCTACTGAAGCTGTCTCTCTTGCCCCTGTAAAAAAGATCTCTTCATTTGTGAGATATACATACGTACATACATATGGTATCTAAAATAGTCTTACAAATATGAGTCTCGGGTATATTCATATTCAACATCAAAAGACACAGATCACCAAGACTAAAAAATTATTTAAAACTTAGCTTTTGCCAGCATCTGCTGACATCGTCAGAGTTTAAGCCAAGATTGAGGGAACACGTTCTTATAGTCTCTGCAAAGCCAATCCTGGTATGGTGTGTGTGTGTGTGTGCGCGCACGCACACGCGCGCGTGTGTAACTTTATGCAGATATGCCAACAAGGGCACTCAGAGTCCTTCCAGATAGAGGGATCTTTCTTAACATATATTTTCCCTGAAATAAAACACTAATTCAGGACAAGCCCCCAATCTGGGCATTTAGAAAACATACAATGAGCAATCTCAAAGCGGGCTCATCCATTCAAAAACAATAAAACCATTGTGGGCCTAGCCAGGAGAAAAAAAATCTATTTGTTGGCCTACGGAAGATATTTGGGGAAGAGCTTATTGAGAAAAAAGGCCCATTCAGATTCGTACGTCCTTCACTTATGACCACAACTGGGACAAGAATTTCTACGGCAAAGCAGGACGCTTGTTAAAGGGAGTCATGCCTCAATTTACAACTTTTCCCCCCACGATTGTTAAGTGAAACACAGCTGTTAAGCGAATCGCGGGGTCCTTAAGCAAATTAAGCCTTCCCCACCGACTTTGCTTGTTGGGCTCAGCTGTGGTCGTAAGACGAGGACTGCCTGTACTGACCACGCTTCACCTGTTGTGCAAATGGAGGCAGTGCTTTCCTCCAATGACCTGGGTTAGACAGTTTGCATGAATGTTGTTGTTGTTAGTTGCGAAGTGATGTCCGACCCATCGCGACCTCATGGACAACGTTCCTCCAGGCCTTCCTGTCCTCTGCCATCTTCTGGAGTCCATTTCAGCTCACGCCTGCTGCTTCAGTGACTCCATCCAGCCCCCTCATTCTCTGTCGTCCCCTTCTTCTCTTGCCCTCCATCTTTCCCAGCATTAGCTCCTGCCAAGTTCTTAACCTAGTGACTTCATTAATCCGTTCTCCGAGTGTGCTTAATATTGTAAATTGTAAAGCTAACCGAGAGAGGTGGGTTCGTAGGAGATGGTAAGAACCACAAATACGAAGCAAGATTAAAAATTCACTCCTCAATCTTTAATTGACCTACTTAAGGGTGTTATGCAAGCAGAGCTGGGAAAAAAAGCCTCAAGA